GAGAGAGAGAGAGAGAGAGAGAGAGAGAGAGAGAGAGAGAGAGGGAGAGAGAGAGAGAGATGGAGATGTTGAATTGAATGCAGCAAAGTGTAAACAATTCCCTCTTGTTCCCCTGATAGAGTTACCTTAACCTCGACCTCTGAGTACAGCTCCCTCAGGTCCTTCATGATGCTGTCCAAGAATATTTCTCCGGTCCCTAGGATAGTGTGCTCTCCCGATTCTTCTACCTGCCAAGCACAGAAAACATGGAGCAATATTTCACTGAAATCCTTTCACTCATTCCACATATCATAAACAGGTCAAGACTTCCTAAACGTATAATAACAAACAGGTCATAGACACGGAGCCATGGCCCATGTGGACCCCTCTATTGATGGACATAAAATATTCCTTTCTTGCCTCTCCACAAATTACACTGACAAATGTTATTGGGCAAAATGAGCCAATGGGTGGAGTAGCAAGCAACCTGGCACACACCAGGTTGATCTGACATCCATCCTACGAACATAGCACACGGTATTGCAACCCCTGCCGTCTTCACCCAAATAGAACGCCTGTCATTAAAGCCGCAACTGGACTGAAAGTTACTCTGAATCCAGCTTTAATGACCAGGCGACGCAGGTGTTCTATTCGCGTGAAGACGGCAGTCCACATACCAGCCACGTATTGGCGAAGTAACACACGGTTCGCTTCAGATGCACAGTGAATGTACAAATGGACGGCCAATGACATACGTTCTGCTATGGTTATGGGTCTCACAACCTCTTGATTATGGCACTCTCACCCCCTTCCTCTTCACACAACTTGCACTAATGGCAGTATCACTTCTTTAAATTTACTAGGACGAGGCCAAGGGAAGCCGCAACGTTCAGTGAGCTGTCGAACAGCATTATTGTTCTATGAACTTCTATCCCGAAATGACATACCATCAGTCTGACACGCTGGACAAGTACACAGGTGAGCGAGGGGCAGAGGGTCAGGCCTCAGTGGTGCTACGTTCATGCTTGGAAAGCATGACCTTAGCACTGACAATGGCCAGGTTCGTGCTTTTTTTACCACAGGCAAAATCTAGTGCGTTCTGCCCCTGAGTCATTTTGTGACACCCAGGCACTGCATCTGCTGACAGAGCAGTGCTCCTGACGTTGAACACGTGTCTCATTTTTCCCTGAGGGAGGCAAGGGGGGAGGGGGAAGGGGACTGGAGGGGAGATATTGCATGTGCCCTCCCACAGACCCCTCAGCAGCATGCAGGTTCGTACATGCCATTCCCAATGCTCGCTTGACTAACTCTTTTTCATTTCTAAGTTCCAGTGCACGTCCGAAGCCCATGCACCCAAGTGGAAGACATAAAAGTCGAACAAACGCAGAGTCGGCCTGCAAGCAATTATAGAAATATATTCGTTCTATTCAAACAAAAGATGTCGATGTGGACAGAGTCTTCTTCTTCTTCACCACCTCTGCACCTTTTGAGAGCGAGTTTTCTATAATACCTTGGTGAGAGCTAATGGGTAGCTTTTGTTGATCTTGCGCAATCCTTCCACCATCTTCGGCAGCTCCGAGGGATTCAGCGGCTCAACTGCTGTTTTTACCACCTGTAGAGAGGCAACAGGATGTCGAAACCAATCGCAACACATTTACACGAATGTCGTGAGAGGATGATCATATAACCTTCCTTTTTTGTTTTCATTTTCCTTTTTAATTTGGAGAATTTTTAACCTTTTCTTGATTTGCTCATGGCATCCTTCTGCACAAGGACATTGCTAATCTTCTCTGTATCATTCCAATTCTTTTGTCTTTTTTGAAGTTTTTACCCAATTTTGAGGAGGTGCCAAAGGACAACTAACTAGGAATAAACACAAGGATAGAGCATCAATGAGTCTGCACAACTGTCGGCCGAGAGGTAAGGAGACTACGATACAGAAGGACACCTGGGCAATCACCCTCATGAAAATATTCTGTGTCTTTTTCGAAGGGAATAAAGATAATGCAAGCTATCACAAAAATTGTTTGTGGATCTGTCGGCCGAGAGGTAAGGAGATATCGTGTTTGTAACTTCTTCGGTCTTCTTGGGTATACTTTTTCCCGAGCGCCTCGCGCCTAATCCAAGAGACTTGAATTTGTGCCTCCGATTTTATGGTCCTTTTGTTGTGTTTACAACTTGTTTTTCCTTCTCCTTTTGTTGTGTTTATGACTTGTTTTTTCTTCTCCTCTTGTTGTGTTTACAACTTGTTTTTCCTTCTTCTCTTGTTGTGTTTTTTAACTTGTTTAACCTTCTCCTCTTGTTGTGTTTATAACTTGTTTTTTCCTTCTCCTTTTGTTGTGTTTGTGACTTGTTATTCCTTCTCCTTTTGTTGTGTTTACGACGACTTGATTTTCCTTCTCCTTCTGTTGTGCCCCTCCATTTTCAAAGTTTCTGACAGGCCATGAAAGCAACTTTCAATTCAATCACCGATATCCTGGAGCAGCCTGACATGTAACAAACTTGCTATTCCTAAAATATACCCAGATATTTGATCCCACAGTGACAATTTGTTCCTCGCTTCCGAGATGCAAGGACGCTGACAAACAGACTGGTCAGACACGGGGCTTCCATTGGACTGGTTATTTAACAGCGTTACTTTGATCGTCCTCAACCAAGCCCATACTACCGTCTTCCCCCGAACACAACGCACCCTGAAAATGAACGTATACAAGGGATGTTTCCCGCCCGATACAGGCAAAATGGGGGTGCGTTGTGTTCGGGGGAAGACGGTAGACAAAAAAAGGGAGGCGGAAAATAGAATTTCTGTAAGCTGATTGGGCTTCAACTCTCTCAACACTCTACGCATCTCAACCATACTGAGGACCTCGATTAAGCAGACGTCCCCCGATCTCTTTCAAACAACCTGCTGTCCAGTTGGACAACCTGCGGTCCAACCGGAGAACCTGTGGTCCAACTGGAAAACCTAGTGGAACAGTCATGTAGCCAAGCAACAACAACAGACTGCTGAACACACCAGTACAGATGTAGGGGTAAGAGAGACGTACCGAAACAGTGTTGAACTTAAGTGGTCGGAATATGTACACCTGCAAAAAAAGAAGTCGTAAAAGTGCAATGCTTCAGAATTTAGGCAGGGGGGGGGCCACGACACAAATTTTCTGTCCAAAAGAAGTCGTTAAAATTGGAACGATACAGAGAAGATTAGCATGGCCCCTGCGAAGGGGGGGAAAAAACAAAAAAAAGAATGGACAGTTTGTTGAACTTGGTTCATTTATCAGGTTATGAAATTTCTTTTCCTCTTCTTCCATCTACAGACACGGGTGAAAACAGCTCAGCAAAATCACCCCCTCCTCTACCTCTCCTTCTTCCACTTCACACCACTGCACCTCGTGTGGTGGTGTAATCATTTCTTTGTCATTTCTATTACTACTGTCTTCACCAGAAGAGATCGCACGGCCATTATAGTTTATGGTGCTTGCGATTCGAGTTTCTCCCGTTCCATTTCCTTGCAATACGCTGTGTAGTATTGCGATAAAATTTCACAAAACCAACTTCTAGATAAGGAGCATGTCAGAGTTCCTTGCCGAAGGCCAGATAGAAAGGCGAAGTAATTAAAAAAAGCAAAACATATATTTTTTTCAGTCAATCTTGTAAACCACCACCCCAACGTTGAAACTCCTCCATATCCCCTTCGTATCACTTTATATGCCTTAGAGGCTTAGACCCTCATCGTCACCCACACACTGTTTTTGGAAACAAGCTTGAATTTAGGCTCCATTACACATGCAGAAGATACCCACACTCAACCCAGACGGAACCGATGTCTTCCTAGGGCTTTTCTCACTTGTCAGGATTGTTTCAGACACGCAGCGCACAGGGTTGCCCGGGTTGGACATCCTGACATGATGGTCCATGCCATATAGCCAGGTTAGCCTAAATGCAATGAATTGATGGATGAGATTGATGGAGAGGGGAATGCATGGACAGACCAATTCACCGACTAATCATGCAGTGAAAGAGAGAGACGCGTGAGCGAGCAGATGAACAAACAGAGAAACGAAGGTAGGGAAGAACCGAGGAAGGCAGGAAGGAAGGAGGGGAGGATGGAAGGAGTGTCTGACCAACTGACCAATCTGGTGTCGCAATGAACAAGCATATGCACGGGCGGACAGGCGAATGGATGACGAATGAACAACAAATACACGCATACACTAACGAAAGATTTCATCTATGACTGAACAAATGGCACAAAACTTCAGAAAGTACCAAAAGTGAGCGCATGTCCGTCCATCTGTGCACACACCATCCAACGCACAATTCTGTCAAAACATTTTCTGCCATGCATCTCTAAGGGTTCCCGACCTCTCATCACCCCTGCCTAGTCCAACCACCCAAAAAACACACTTCAGGAGAGCCAACTCCTGTGCAAACTACCAACCAGTTGATGGGGAGAGGACAGACGTGCAAAGATCGGTAATTGGCATCGATGTCACAATGGCATCCAACAAGGGTTGCTGCGGGTAAAGGATGGGCATGCAATGATCAGGAATTTCCATCCATGTCAAAAATTCTCGCAATCACATGCAGCTATCGTTGAGTCCTGTTTTGTCTTTTTCCTATGCCCAGGTCGGGTCGTTTGGGTTTGCTAAGAGTGCCATTGTTATCTGGGCCATTATAGGAAGGAAGATGCTTGAAGACATAATGCGCACCACTGAGGGCGGGCATACTCACACTAGGACCTTGCCCTATTGAACCTGGACTTAACTACGGTCAGATACCTGCTGGGGGACCTCCACTGTACATGTCCAGTGGATGGGCATTTGCAAAGAATGAGGAACACTATGCTTTCCCTCTTTTCTCTTTTTACGGAAAGGAACTGTGTCCTCATAGACGCCAATCCTTTCGATTATTATAGGAAGTGGCAGTTCGGTTACTTTCCACCAGCACTTTGTTTGGCGAAACCTTTTGCTTTCATAGATAAACATACTCGTTGCACCATAATGTAAGGAATAATTTCTGTTTGACGCATCACGGGCAAACACAATATAGACAGCAGAATCACTAACACAGACTAAACGTCAGCATACCACCAAGGCACACAGCCATTGCTTCCGTGGTATGCTGCTGTGAACTAGACAGCCAGGGGAGCTAAGAGGAGTTAGAAAAAGGGAGGGAGAATCCTGCAGGTGCAGAGCATTGGTAAATCCTTCCGTTCGGGGGAGCAATCAATGCCGCTGGCTCAGGGTCCTTCAGCCTTAATGGAAGGACACAGAGTGAGTAATCACATTGTAAAGGATGGCAGAACACCGGTTTCCAGCTGTTACAATTGGGAGAAAAAGAAACGTCGGCAAATCACTACAAACCTACGGCAAAAAAATGATAAATAACAAATACAAACACAAAGTCGGAAAGAAAAAAAAAAAGGTGTGACTACAGTCAAGCTTGCCTCATCGTCATAGAAGCGTGGACAGAGCGTTGCCGTCTTTGTAATCGATGCATCCACACCCTCAATAAGCACCCAGCATCCAGCATGTGCCTTGCCGATAGGGAGAGAATACCTGGTCACGGGAACCCCAGAGACGGTCAGTGAGAAATAAAAATCCATTGTCTGAAATGGTCAGCAGAGACACGATCAATATGGAGAAATGCTCGACACAGAACAGTCAGCAGGTAAAATGGTAAACAGAGAAGCATTCAACAGGGGAATGGTCAACAGGGAAATGGTCGACGGGGGAATGGTCAACATAGAAACAGTCAACAGGGGTCAACAGAGAAACGGCCAACAGGGGAATGATCAACACAGGAATGGTCAACAGGGAGACAGTCAACACAGGAATGGTCAACAGAGGAATGGTCAACAGAGGAATGGTCAACAGAGGAACAGTCAACAGGGGAATGGTCAACAGAGCAACGGTCAACAGGGGTCCAAAGAGAAACGGTCAACAGGGGAATGGTCAGCATAGACACAGTCAACAGGGAGACAGTCAACACAGGAATGGTCAACAGAGGAACAGTCAACAGGGGAATGGTCAACAGAGCAACGGTCAACGGGAGAAGGGACAATGGCCAGCAGAGAAACAGTCACAGAGAAACGATGAACAGAGGAAAAGTCAACAAGAAAAACGGTCCGCAGAGAAACATTCCAATTTCCTAAGGGAAATGGTCAGCAGAGATTGTCAACAGAAAATAGAGAAATGTCCGACAAAGGAGCAGTCAAGCAAACAGAGGTGGTACCAAGCCCAGGTGGCTGAATGGTACACCCATCAACTGTTGATGAATAGACCTGAGTTCGAATCCAGATGCAATCAGATAAAAAATAAAATGCCCTCTGAATAGTCTGAAATGGCCTGGAGCCAGTTAGACACTTGTATCTTATTACTGCTGTCGCCCTTTCAAAGAAAAAAGAAACAGAGGTGGTCAACAGAGAAACAAGATTTCCTTGCCCAAGTGCTGTAATCCTGCTCATGGCTAGATCACCCGGTTTCGGGTCGAACTGATAACTACTATGTACAATTTCATTACGCCTACACCTAAGGGTTTAAGCTTGCCGTATCAATTCAACTCGCTGACCTACCTATTATGCAAAAGGTATGCCGTTAACCTTTGAATATGCATCATCCATTGATTGATTGATGATGCATCTTTCAGCCTTCGACTGATTGCTTGCATCGGGTTTCAGGTTTTCTATTTCACTCCCTTTCTGAGGGTTCTTTTCACCTTTCCCTCACGGTTTGAAGAGGGTTGCTTTTCTTCTTTTGTGTAGGTTTGTTTTTTCTTCTTTTGCGTTTTACCTTTTTCAAGTTCCATTGGCAACTTGAGTGAGAACTATGTCTGCAAGCTTTGCTGCCAATGTTCTTTTTGTAATAGCGAGTCTACCTGGATACAAATTATCTCAAGTTGTGGGAATCGTCTGAGTGGGGTATTCGTGTAAATTACTGACTTGCCGCCGGAAAAGGACCCAGACTGACGCTCCCGAGAAAAAAACTCAGTTCGAGTGAGAGGTGGTGGTCAGGGGATGACGCTGAGCTTGCCTTGCTTGATAAACCCAAAGATTTGTCACTTCCTTGACCGCCATATCCTCTTCATCATCTGGAGAATAACCCTGTCATGAGATTCCCACAATCAACAGGCGTGTGGCAGACCCGCACGACAACAGGCATGCGGAAAATGTCCCGGGCAAAACAGCCAAGTAAGGGAGGAGGAGTCCAAACAAGGAACACCAGCAAGCAGAGTCAGGCCTGGATGTCTAAATGGAACATACATCAGAAAATATGATCAAATGTCTAGCGTCAAGGATCAAGAAGAAGCATAAAGCAAAGCCACACTGCACCGCCTTCTGGCGATTCTGGTGCTCATGGTGGAGCCAGAGACTCTACAAAAAAAATAGGAATTGGTTCTCGCAACTTCTCGGTGGTGAGTTTATACCAACCTCTCCTAGCACACGAACACTCTGGCCAACCTGCAGAGTCCCGCTGTAAATTCTTCCAAACGCGTCAAATGCGCTGCAATCCGACTTCGGAAACAACTTGGTCACATTAACCTGCACTCAAAATACAGTACGCCCAACAGGCCAAATGAGACAATGGTCCCAGTCCCACCACCTGTCCACACGCATCAACCGTTTGCCCATTCACGAAGGCCACAAGATGCGTGCGGACTATTATCCAATAGATAGACTGTGCGTTAAGAGTCGAGTTGTTGGGTTTGTTCAGTTCTCACTAACATTGGCATGGGTTTCGCTCTCCCCCTACGCATCATGACATGTTTGTGTGAAGTTGTTGACCCATATCAGGCCTGAGCACTCCCCACAATATGCGATAACCCCTATTCAATAACACACACCCCTCGTATCACCGCCTGCTAAATAACCCCAAACTGAGACGCGTAAAGCAGTGTTGCACACGCCGACCGTCAGCGACCCCTGACTGGTCGGCTGCCGACCCGCCGACCGGTCGGCAGGTCGGCACCTACCGGTCGGGGGTCGTCGGCACCCCGCGAAATTCTTTTTTATAATAAAATAAAATTGTTTGGGTTCAGAACCCCTAATAAACCCACCAACACACGAA